TCCTGCCCGTGAATTTGACATCAATTCACGGTCAGGATGCATTCTCCCTATATTTCCCTAAAAAATAAACCACTCCCCGTCTATCACTATGGTAGAGCCGAAGAACTGTTGCAATGTTCCTTTTATCGAATTTGACAAGAAAACGCCTACCTGAAGAAAATGCCGATTTTGCAATGTTCCAGATTGTTCCTCTCTAGATTTGACTCCAATCCCGTAGGCTCACTAAAATCTGGAGAAGAAAACGCTTGTCTGACTCTCTTTCTCTCACTCTCTCCAACAGGTTCAATGAGACATGGCTCTCCGATCGTTTCTTCACCGACGGCTCAACTTCCCCTGTCTCCGAAACTCATCTCTTCATACTCCCCTATCTCTCAACCCGTACTCTCTCTCTCACACACACAATACCTTAAGATAAACAACGCCAATTGTTCTTTGTTGCTTTCTTCTGTCAAGGCACGAAACACGACAACAAGAAACATGTCCGATCAATCGAACGTCATCAGTCGTCGGCAACATATTGACACTCCCGCATCTCTCTCTCCGACGTCATTATTGTCTTCCTCAAAACACCAAAAGATTGTCTCAGAAAGACGGTTACCATGAACGCTATAGTGGAAGAAAAGGAAACCATCGGGCTCAGCCGATCGTACGTGATCAGAATTAATAGCTTAGATATTGCAGTATAGCTCTTATTTCTGGTTCGGCTAATCCATGTGTCAAAACCATGAATGCATGTTTGATCTTCCAATGTTCTTTGCTTTCATCTATTATTTTAGAACATCTTTAGCTCAATTTGTTATTTAATGAGAAGAGCTTAATCATGAAAAAAGGAACTGAATTTGGTGGGGTTAATCATTAACGTGGAAGTATCACCTTCTCAATGATTTTGTCTGTAAAAATCTTTTCCCTTAACGTGGAAGACTTCCGAACTTCCATCAGGAATAAGGGCATGGTATTCGCAAGTATTTGTTGATATTTTTTAGATCATGAGGTTAGATAGAAAGTTTTTTGGTTGGACCGGTTGATGTTATGCTTTCATTTTCTCTCTAGAAGGAACGAAGAAGCATTGGCTCGGGGATCAACCGTTTTGATGGGGACACCACTCCAATGCTCCCCTGTTTCCGCAGTTTTGTTCAGTGAGCTTTTGCTTAATTCCATTTTTTACCCGAACTGGTGGATCAGATTTAACGACAAGCTGCATTCCCCCAGCTTCGATGTCTCTGTGGAGGGGACCCTTGTGTTTAGCTAGCGGTTGTCGTGGGGGGACGTTGCCATAGAGCCCATCTAAACTTACTATTGTCATTGAGATATCCAACCAAACTAGAATAGTCCTCCATTGCCTCCAACAACGAGCTAGCAAAGAAACACAACCCCCAATATATTGCACGAGGAAAAAAAAAAAAAAGGGATTGCATAAATTGACTAGAGAAAACATCATCTCCAATCACGATCCCAAAGAAAGAAACCCCAGTTACATATGGATAATACCACAAAACTGCTTGCCAACAAAGCATCCGAGTATTCTTGTCAGTAGACCAAAACCAGCAAAAGAAATAAGGGTTAAACGGTATTCGAAAATCTGAATTCCAATTGGAGAATTGTGGCAAACTGGGAATTGTATTAAATTTGGATAATTTGAAAATCGGTAGACCAAGAATGATGCATCTTTAACCACTGAGCCAACTTTTATTTCATGTCAATAAATGGGATACATTAACTTTTACTACTTAATAACTATATAAAATCTCAACAACCAATATATACTTATCTTCAGCACTTCCAATTACAAATTAAAAAGAATAATATTTAAAATTAATATTTTATAAATCAAAAGAATAAATAATCTATCAAGTCCGCATTTATATCAAAAAGTCATTTTTTAATTTAAAGTAATTTTAAAATATTAATAATAGAATAATTATTTTAATACTTAAATTTACTAATTTGAGCATGATATATATCTCAAAGTTTTTATAAATTATTAATTAATACTTTAATTTGCATTAAATAATGATGTATTTATTATTTATAAAAATAAAAATATTATTTATAAAATGTTTAAAAATGTAATATAAATTGAATCTATCAAATACACTAATCCATATTTATATTATTTTTTTTATTTTAGAAATTTATAAGAAAATATTAATGATGAAATAATTATTGTAGTAATTAAAATTTATGAATTTTCATATGATATGTATCTTTGAAATTTAAATAGATTTGATATATTTTAAGTTAGGATTATATATTTTTATAAATTTTCAATTAAATTTGATTTGTATTTTATAATAACATATTTATTGTTTACAAAAATGAAAATATTGTTTACCAAAATTTTGAGAATTAATTTTAGTTAACATTTTTGTTAATGTTAAAAATTATTAGTAAAATAGAAAAAATGATATAATAATTAAAATAAAATAATTGCATATGTTTTGTGCCTTGGACTTTAATATAAAATAAGATAATAATGGCTTTGTACATGTATTAATTTGTAAAAATCTATATAATATGTTTCTTGGAATCTTAGTTGATGCATATCAATAAAATTGTATGATATCTATGCATTCTGTTATATTAATTGTAATATATTTCTTCATATATACCGTTAAAATATGTAATTCTTATTTATTTATACAGTATTTATAGCCATTTTAACATTAAACCTATAGTTAATAATATATTTATGAAATTAATATTCATTTTTCTAGCATATCCAAGTGTTTTCATGTTTTTCGTCTGTATCCATGTGTTTTCAAAGTGTATCCATATTCGTATTTGTATCCATATCCAAGTTATCTGATACGATACTCAATATCAATATTTTAATCATTGCATACAGCTATACCTTTACCCTCCTTTTCTTGTAAGAAAAGATATCATTTCATCTCTTGAAAAACCTTTTTTCTTGTGAAACATCTCTCGATAACCACCCAATTCTTTCTCTCATCACTCCACTGTTTCATCTCTTAGTAACTCCTGTTTTTCCTCTTTTCATGTCATGATGAGCCCACCTTTGTCTATCTCTTACCCTCCCATTTTTACCTTCCTCTTTCCTTTGCAGTTCCAATAAAATCTCAACTCTTCAATCCCTCATTTTTTTTTCTACCCTCAAGCATGGCTGTCAAAAGACTTGGAACTGAATCAGATATATGCCAAAGAAGATCATAAGTTGGTTGTTGTAGGTTTTTATTTTTCTTTTGTGTTTTCTATTTACTTAGTTTTTTTTCCAACAAAGATAACTTTTATCGAAAACAAAAAGATGAAGTACACGAGAGGATTATGAAGCTTAGAGCAGCTTGGCATAATTACAAAGGCAAACAACTACCATCATTAAACAAGCTTTCTCTAAAAACTCCTGATTTTGCTAGGCTATCAGCAACAGTGTTTTGCACCCTCCAGACCAGCTTTATATTCATTTAGACTAAGATATTCCTAGCTTCAGCTATCAAGTGTGCTAGTCTTCAAGACCCTCCTTCCTTCTCCCTTAACCATGCT